TCTGCGCGGGTGAGGAAAGTACCCTCGGCAGTTGGAGATGTTGTGGTTCTCTACAATTCATCACTGGAGAAGCAATGGTCCAGGAAGCTCGATAAGAGGTGGTTAGGTTTCTACCGGATCGCACGGGTCGGAGACTTCGGAGCGTACCAGATGGAGGAGATAAATGGGACTGAGTGGAAGGATTGGGTATCTGGAACGCGACTGAAGAAATTTGTGGCGAGAAAAGAGGTAAGAGAGATGACCTGACTGCCTTTAGGATAGAAGTAACAGGGTGTGTAGGTTAGGTAGGATGGATACTGCATGAGTGTGACCTGGTCTAAGCTGGCTTTGATTATCATCTGCTTGCTTACCCCAATGTGTGCCTGTTGTCTCCTTCGCCTGTTGTGCAGGTCTGACTTTACGAAGACAGCCATGCCAAGAGGAGGGAAGGGGAYACGGCCGCCTCAGAGGCCGTTGGGCGCATCAGGAGGATATGAGCGGCATGGGCCTCGCCATCGAGAGAGTACTCCGGTCTACAATGATGGGGACATCGAGCTATTCTTGGACAGTTTCTGAGAGCATGCGAGGCGTATGGGTTGGATTGTCGCTCAGACGATTGAGAGATTAAGGGGAGCAGGTAGGTTCGAGGAGCCTATTGCCAGGATTCGTAGGGAGGCGACGACGAGGCAGGAGGTGGAGACGAGGATGGAGGAGTTGCGACCCTCGCCTGTGGGACCTGATGGCAGGCCGATCCGCCTGGAGATTGGGAATGCGTCGGACTTCATCTCCGCGTTTGAGTGGTTCATGCAGGGGCAGGGCATACCGAGAGATGATTGGATGCAGACGCTACCACTCTGGACCAGGAAGGCGGAAAGGCCACTGGCTATGCAGATCAGGGACATGGCACGAGATTGGGGGAGCTGCAGGGCACATCTGAGAGAGACCTTTCGACGGCCAGAGCTCCCTCAACCCAGAGTCGAGAGGCGGCAGAGGAGTAAAAGACCGAGGGACCCTGAGCCCAGGGAGGCGAGACCATCACGAGGAGGACGGAAGGCCCTAGCCAGGAGAAAGGAGGAGCCGGAGCAGGAGTCAGAGGTTGAAGAGCAAGGAGCATACCCTGAATGTGGGTTGGGACCAGTGGAGTTCCATCGTTTTACTGAGGGTGGATTGAGGAGGTCGCCAACACACGCACGGGAGGAGCCGCCAGTGTCTGAAGGGCCGTTGAGAGAATTAGAAACGCATCTGGATATCTCTCAATGGAAAGCGTCGCCTCAGGATGAGAAGCATGAAGAGCAAGTAGAGGAGGTGCCACGAGAGGAGGTGCCACAGGAAGAGATATCGCGAGAGGAGGTGCCACATGAGGAGGTGCCACGGGAAGAGGTCCAGGGTACTCAGCGAGAGAGAGGGTTGGGCGATGAGGGGAGACGTGCAGGAAAGGAAGTGATAGAGGTTGGAAAGGACACGCCCCCACAGGCGCCAGCAATGGGTTTGAGACTCGAGGATACACCAAGGAGCACCCGGCAAGCAAAGGAGAGATTGCAGAGAAAAGAGGCCCCTTTACCTTCATCGGAAAAGGCTTCTTCGCCAGAAGGGACGGCAGAAAGGAGGAGAGAGAGGGCAACTGTAAGGAGAGAAGCCTTTACCTTGATTGATAGGCACCTAACAGCTTATGCCCTGGAGCATCCAGACCTGGAGGAGCCAGCACCTGCTGAGCCGCGCCGAGAGCCGTGCCAACCTGAGAAGGAGATGGAAGCAGAGATACCAAAGAGGGTCGACCTCCGCACGAGGGAAAGGGCGCYAGCGGGAGAGACGGCTGAAGAAAAGAGGGCGAGAAGAACAAGACGGATAGATGAGATATGGCAAGAGAGGCAGAGATTGGAGGCAGCGGGGGAGCTCCCGGAGCAGCAACAGGAGGGGCAGCGATCAGAGGCAGCAGGAGCACTCCCGGGTCAGCCACCCAGCGCGCCAGCTAAGGCCCCGAAGATTCCTGAGATGTGGAGGGACTTCTGGGAGCAGAGAGGAGAGGAACTTCCATCGCCAGTCAGAGTCGGGTTTGGAGTGGCCAGGAAGGCGGAAGAGAGGTTAGATCGTAAAATCAAGTTCCTGGCCAAGACCACTTTTGACCGACACTTGTTATTAGAGGGCGATCTGGCGGGGAAGAAAATGAAGGAAGCCAGCCATGGAGTACGCTTGGAGGCTATGGAAATGAAAATTCAGGAACTCAGGGCCTTCGTGGCCAGCCAGGCAGTTATCATCGAGAGCCTGAGGCAGCAAACCCAGGGAAGGGTGGACAGGCCAGAGAGCAGCAGGCAGGGAGAGCAGAGGCAGCCGGGACAAGGATTGCCAGGACAGCCATCTGCAGCAGAGCCTCGCAGGAGCCACCTATTGGGAGAGCTATCCTGGAACCAGAGGAGGCGAGAGCCCGTAGACAGGCGGAGAGAGAGGCATTCGAGTTTAGAGCCCCTACTGAGCTCGCGACGCTGTCGATGGCGGCGGCAGGCCCAATCGTACCTTTGGCAGTAGAGGAGGGGCCGCCACCATCTAGCAGTGAGCCGGCCCAGGGCTCAGCAGAGGGATCCATGGGCGTGCTCCTTGAGGCGGTGCATACTATGCAGGAAGAGGTGAGTTTGTTTTCGCCTGAGCAGAGGATAGAGAAGCCTCTTGAGAGAGAGATGGGGATTGAGGTAGAGGGTGCTATCGAGAGCAGGCTCCAGAAAATGGGCACACCTGAGTATGGACTAGAGGAGATTGAGGAGCAGCCCACGACAGTGTCAGGAGGGACACTCGAGAGAAGGCCTCAGAGGTTGGACATGCCTGAGTACGTCCCAGCGACAGGGGATTTGAGGAGTAGATTGGGATCTTGGGCTACTGGATCTGAATCTGGGGGACCGGTTCCTGGGACGGAGCAGCAGGAGGTCGTTAGTACCACAGCTCCTCGACAGGAGCGGCAGGAGGTTGTTAGTACCTTGGTAGGATCTCCTTCATCGCCACCTCCTCAGCCCAGGAAGAAGAAATTAAGAGAAAAGTAGATCAGCTATGTTTTTACTGCAAGAGGGACGTGCATCTGGCTTTGGACTGTCTCGAGTTTCTTGAGGATAAGGCAGCAGGGAAGGTCTCAGAGGTAGAAGGTAAAATGTATGATAAACAGGGTAGCATAGTAGAGAAATCCGCAGATGGACTTAGGGCTCAGTTATATGGGCAAAACCAGGAGGAGTTGAGGAGATAGCACCGGTTTGCCTATGTAAGTGGGCGAGTATCTTGTGAGACATCAACTTAGGTTCTGTGTAATACCTTCTTAGACTTAGAGGACTTTTGTGTTGATTGCTATAAGTCTAGACCTGAACTATAGTGTTCCTACTGAGTTGGGGTTTTGGGGGTCAGGATGGTTTAGATGAGGCATGTACATATTTAGCTGGCCTGCGCACAGGTTTTTGAGAGACAGATCTAACAAGTATTCTAGGGGTTGTTGTCAGTATGGGTTTGGTGTGGCTTGAGTTGAGTGAGCTACGATTTAGAAACG